TAGGAATTCCTTTTACGTTAGGTTAATCACCGTAAGCAGATGTGTTGTAGTTATCTCTCGTTCTGCTAAAATTTATTCTTTACAAACCTAAGTTATGCAAACGTGCGAAGTGTCTCTGTCACACCCTGCAGTTTACAAAATGATTAATGTCACACAACACGGTTAATTTTTTTGAAGACATTTGGGTCTATTCAAATCTGTTGATTTAATTATTTTAAACACCCGCAGCTTTGATTCCCTTGAGATAATTAATCTCGCGTATCGATTTTCTACAAAGTCATGTCCACAACTAGGTCATTTGGGGAAGACGCGTAGCAGAATCAAGTTGATGAAACCATATTTAATTAACGAGTAACGCCTATTAATTAGGCAGCTTAAAGTATAATCCATTTTCCTAGGTAGCGGACCGGATCTCGTTTCTTCGCACAGCGCCGCAAAAATGTTATTAACGTGAAAATTTATGTTTCTTTCGCTCGCGCCGCGTCCGTTCCAATTTCATAAACAATAGAGGTCCCGCGTTATATTGTCAAAAGCAATATAAATCTTTTGATTAAAATGTCGTAAAACGTTCTCTCTCCACCTAAAAGAAAATTTATTCATACACGTGTCACACTTATATTTGAACTAAAAATCGAACAACGAGTTTTTAATGAAGGAGCTTGCAGCTAAAAGATGATGGAAATGGATCGATCACGGCGAGATTGTACGCGGGCTAAATTGCGGCACCGCATTTAGGCGGTGCTAATTAATTAAGTATCTTAGAATAAAACTCTCGTATTCCAAGGCTTTGCAGAACCACTAAGAAAACTTAACAGCATGGGAAAAAGGACTCTTTGTCCGTTCGTTTCGCTTTCCATACAATGCGACGAATTTTCCATGAGTTTATTCGCCATTAATCGCCAAGTTGGATTTCATTGTTTGTATTGGTCGTCAAATCACGACGTCCCGATCGATGTAACACTGACGAATGCAGCGAGTTATCGAAACGTATATTGAATGTTTGCAGACTTCGCAAATGCCTCGCGGATAAAAGTTTGTATTTCTGAATACCAGTCTATGAAAGTTCGTCTCTCCTTCCCTTTTCCGTCGCCCTTTCCTTAACCAAAGCACCTACTTGTAAGAATCTTATCGAAGGCGTTACTTCGGAATAAACTTCCGATCGGATCAGAGATTTCGGAAGAAGTAAAAAAACACATCGCGGTGCGGCCCAGGGCCGCAACGAAGCCCGGGGATTTAGCCTTTTTACGACGAAAGCCGACGGCGTCCGATAATCTGTTAGAATAATGATCTTTTCTTAAGATCGGTAATGACGATAATAACTCTATGTATAATCTGGGGTTTTGCAAACCGTGTAGAGTGGGATTAAATATGTACGCAAAACTTGATTAGATTATTTAAGTATCGTGATGACTTAATTAGTCATTTTGCAGAAATAAATTTCTACTTTTCTTTATACATAAAGTAAAATATTATTTATTTAAATAATAACACTACATTAATTATAAGATGTTTTAATAAAAAAATATATCTATCCGGTTAATATTCTACAAACCCGTCAATATACTTTTCTCTATTTTCTTTCATGTTATCAATATTGCTAAACATCATGCATGCTTACTAATCATTTAATTTTTAATGTCGTTACGGATAACATTATATTCGCAAACACATGTTTATATCTAATTCGAAATTGATTAAATCGACGATACGATGTACTTTGCAATATTTGAGCGCAATCGCATTTTCATCCCTCGTACACATTCAGGTCTGTGTATTGCATCATATGATGTTTCTAAGCTCAAAGTCTCAAAGAGAAATCGGAACGCAAACTTGGATCGAGCATTTTACTCGCAGTGACGGAAACATCACGTCGTTAGTTAAACTTAATCCTACGACGCAAATATTGATGGTGAATACAAAATCACAGATTACGACGAAGCGAAGCGGCTTTCGATCTTAAGCGGCGTCGTTTGAATAAAACATCAATCTCGAATAAATGTGAGAGTCGCGAGGTATCGAGTTTTACAATTTACGTCCCGCATACTTAACCGCGGCCTCATGTATAAATTATGGCTAATCGTATTAAGCGACAGCCGACTCAGCTGCTCGGAAAGAGCATCCGATAATAATTAATGCCGGTAACTTTGACGAAGACGATGACACGATAGATGCAAATCTCTTAGCAAGTCAGAAGCATGAATTATCTTAGCCGCGAGCAACCTTGACGCTCCGGATACGTCGAGAATCGATTTATGGAATCGGAAATAGCGAGGAAAGTAATTTCGACGCGTTACTGAAAATCGTCACGTGCAACAGTCAGAAAATTGCCATTTAATGTAGAAGAATTTATTGATATATCAGCTATTCGCATAATATTCCGGATGTATTGTATGTACACGTATGTGTATGGCTGTTCGCGCTTGCATGCGCACCGATTCGCTTTTTTTCTTATTTTGAGTCACGTGCCATCGAACCGCGACGTGGAACATCTACAATTTTCAATTTCCTAATGGATATGTGCAGTAACTACACGTTACTCAGCCACGATCATTCAGTTGGGCTGATTGAAAATTGTGGCCGCAAAGCGTATCAAGGAATCGATACGTTGACTGAACTATTCGGTAATACATACATCCGCTTTTGTACTGTTACTTATATTGTAGGAAGAATTTCGTGATAATATTACAGAATATATGATTATGTTTTTGCTCGAAGCTATATGATTAGATTCGATGTCGTGATGTGCAACATTTTTCTATATTAAAACGTTTATGTAAAATACAGAGAAGAGCAAAAATACAAAATAGAAAAAAAAATTGTAAAGACGTATATATTAATTTTACAACAAAACTGCAAATTCTTTTCTCTCTCTCTCTCTCTCTCTCTCTCTCTTTATCTAAAAAATCAATTATTTTATTATATTCTGGAACATCTCGGTTCGATTTTTAATGTCTATAACACGTTATTTCCTTTGCATAAAATAAAGATATAGTGTTGCAAACATTATATTATCACACTTTTATATTATATCTACGAAGCGAATGGATGTCATCACGGAAAGTATGAGTTATAGATGACGTGCGATGAGACGCATAAAAGTGAGTAAAACGCAAAAGAACATACAAGAAAATATATACTATATATATAATAACAATATATATTGACAAACAAGTAATAGACTTAATATGGTGTGCATTGCAATGTATCACTTAATAAAAAATTACAACTTTTTACATAGAGAGAAATATGCATAATTTTAATGTATGAACGCACGTAATGCTACGTATACACGCACGTGTATACGATAGCTATCAAAGTGCAACCATTTCACAGTTGTTTGCGCAGCATTAGTTTTGATATTATTAAATCTATATTATATGCATATTTATTAGCAACGAAAGAAGGAAAATAAAAATAAACAAAATAAAGATTGGTTCGTTAAAAAAGTATGTCAAATTCTATCTATGAATTTATTTTGCACAATAAAGATGATTATTATTATTTTAATTTATATATATAAAGCTTGACCGTAAATAATGCATGTTGCAGTAAATAAAATTATTTGCGTAAGATTTTATGAAGCTCAGAGAAAATTGCGCTGATTCGCGCTGATACGAGTGATAGCGGTCTGATGATAGTCAGACCGGAGAGCGCGGTTGTAAACACGTCGCTTCACATGTTGTCCCCGGCACAATATTACGTCGACGGCGCTACTGCATCCGCGTTTATGGTCTAAATAACAGGGTTGGCATCTTGAAGCCAGTTGCACTCGCGGCGAGATCTTTACTCTTTTTCGAGATATGACGGTACTTTTCTCAATTCGTAAAGCCACGCTCGTAAAATTGGCTGGTTTCAGGCACGCAATCTTTGAAACATTTATAAAATGTTCAAATGTGTAGTGAAATGTATAATAATAATTCTATCAATAATTATAAAATATATTAATAATTTGCATGCAATAAAAGTATTATATATCGAGAATTATATTCAATAAACAATTAATAAATATTGTTCTATTGGCGCGACTAAAATAATCGAATTTGTATTAATTGGAATATAATTAGCGATGGAGTGCCTCCTGCAAAAGCGATCTGACAGAACATCCGTCTTGCTACTACAAATCATCACATTGAATAAATACAAAACCGTCGAGCGGAGAATTTATGATCCTATACGGAACATACAATAGCATCGATTCTGCCTCGCGCATCGCCTTAACGTACAAAAAATTTCTTCGAAAGTTTATCACGGCGCCGCAACAACGTTCGCCATGTTTGCCAGGCGGTGTTTATCGAATGGAAAAATATGCTCGTGGCAATTCCATTAATGGTCGCGGTCGGATTCGCGCACGACGTTACGCTGTAAAAGCTGTTCCAGATAAAAGAGGGTGTCGAATGCATGCTTTTTAAAGCGCTGCACGCATTTTCCTCCGACGTTGTTATTTCGCCGCAACAACATTTGCCAAGTCATTATTGTTGTCCCGCGCATGTTTTTTTTTTTTTATATGGCTGTTTGTCAATTTACGAATAAATATGTACGCGCGTTACATTTTAACTCCGCACTTTTACTCTTTAACAACCGTGTTTTTTTATTCAAACGAGACGTATGTTCACTGTTTGACGGAAACGGAAGAGGGCAGAATTTTTATAGAAATTACACAATGTATCTGATATAATATACGCTATATCAAACGATTATTGTTTACTTGAAATTAAACAATGCATCCGTCAAATCTAAAATATGTTCACTTTTGCGTCCAAGTTTTGCGACGTTTTAAATCATTACTAAATTAGCTTTGTTACACAAAAAATTATTTTAACAAATTATTTTAACAAATTTATATTTAAAAAAATATTTATACAAATTATTCTGATGTAAATATTTAAATATATTTTAATTTTATATTGCTCGACTTATCAGTCTCTTTTCAAGTAAACAATCTAATACGTCTTAAATTACAATATTTTCTAGCAAAGATAATTTTTTCAACGTTTGCTTACCATGCAGCAGGATGAAGAGAAAGAAAGCGCAGATCATTTTGAAAGATTTGTACCAACTGGCCCCATTGTCATTATATTGTAAATCCATTCCGAGTGCTTTTATAGTAAATCGTTTTCGGTACATTTCACAGCAATTGCTTCTTCGAAGTTGCAACAATCTGACAAAGGCGATATATCTTCCTAGTTGACGATAAAAAAAATTCCATTTTGCTCACAATTAATAACAGTAGCAACACTTATTACATGATCACATTGTTTCTATCAGTCAGTGACAATATTTTGCATAAGACGATTAGATTATTCATCTTGCAAACAAAGCAATATAGAATTAATGCTTTATCTTCAATACGTAAAAGAGCACTTATCATTATTTATATATATTAGTTATATATATCATAATATTAATGTGTAGAGAGTATTTATATGATATTAATAAATTTCAAAAAAAAATAACACATTAAGCAGATTTTTTCAAAAGATATTTAAATTACCTGAGATAAAAACATTATTCACCAACGCGATAAAGTGGAATTTTAAAATGACTATTTTTATGCACAGTATTCATCACGAGATATTCACAAAATATCGATCACGCGAAAGCGACCACGTGCCCGTTTCTATTACGATTTATTACATTCGTTTTACATGCGTTTTCTATACGTAAAGAAACATGTTATTCACGCATGTATATTTGGTAAATAATAAAAAAACATTCATGCCTAATAAATCAATCGCGTTGTAACGATCAGTCCCGCACTCGTCGAATCGAGTCGCGTTTCCGCGTCTAATCTTTAAAGTCGCTCGGTGCACTTGTTCGTCGTTACACCATCGAATGTATCGTCCATTATCGAGAGGAAGCATCTCACAAATCTGTGTTCACAAGCAGCGAATGTACCTTTCCTATCAACTGTCACGGACTGTGAATGACGGAGCGACAAGTCTCGCGTAATCACACAGAGAGAGAACCGGCGCGCCACTAAATCCTTCCAGCACAGCTGGTCCAGTACTTCCACGTGGGCGGTTACAGTTCTCACGCGAGATGCATCTTCACGAGGATCCGGTGACGCCAGTGTGTGACTTACGATCGTGCGAAAGGACTAGATGGTTTCGCGCGTTACTTCCGTCCCTCTAAAATGCCGTTCATTCATCATACCGCACTCATACTAACGCGTCGCGGCGCGAACACCTTCACGTACAGGCGTAGGGTAGAAAGAGGGATGGGGAGGGTGGCAGAGGGTGTCGTGCATCCAGTGTCGTGTATGCACCGTTCGCGAAAGTCCACCGGCAGGTGGAGAGGTGGGATACGACGAGGGGTCGGGAGAGGAGATTGCAAGAGGGGTAGGCAAGAGATCTATAAGGGGGTAGGAAACGAGAGGGAGAGATAGGTGCGTAAAGAGACCGTTGGGCGAAATGCTGCCGTGGTGGAGACCGCGACCCAACTGCGCCAGCGCTTAGCTAGATATCAGCCCCCGACCACCGACGTCAACTCTTACCACCACCACCGCCCCCCCTCGCGCGCGCTGCGATGCCCAACCATGCTGACTCGCACCCACCCTACATGCCACCCTATCATGCGCTGCTGTCATAGTCCCACCGTCGCGTCGTCGGCTGGTTGATTGTGAGAAGGGCCGGCGTCCGCGATGGCATTTCCATTGCTACTGCGAGCATTGTCGTCGTTGACTTTTGTCGCCGGCGCCGTCACACGTTCTTGTGTTACAGAGTTATTAAAGTTGTTAGCTGGATAAAGGCGCGTGTAAGGTTACAAAGTACTGTTATTACCTGTCCCGAGATTACGAATGTTGTTCGTGATATTTAACACCGGCGGCGCTCGAACGTTACCGGGTATCGACGTTGAAGGAGAATTTATTAGCTTGGCTCGGAAATGTTTCGGGCATTGACAGTTTTCGGATATTGCACTTATGTAACGCTTTTTCAATGGATTGCCATTTTGGCGTGCTTGATGATCGCGCTTAATATACATGTTGATCGTTGATAGCGTGGTTATATATGTCGATAATATTTGCATTTTAATTTACAAAATTAAAAAAACACTGAGGCATGAAATTATTGTACAATACATTCTAATATAACTCGACTGTTTGCTATTGCAAAATTTAAAAAATTTTTAAACATTAAATTATAAGAGCTAGCGATATTATATTTAGAAAGTATAAAATCCCCCGTAGAATAACTTTTTGGACTAATATTTGTTATTAATAAAATTAATTGCCAAAATTTTCATCGATGATTGAATAATATAATTTTATTATCGAGGATTTTTCCTATATTACGAAAATTTAAGTTCTATTCTGCCTGGATATTAATATGGCATTACATTCGATTATAACGATGTCGATGGTTTTCAGTTCTCTTTTTAATCTTTCTTTCCTTGCCAATAAGCCAACGATATTGCTGCTGGCGTCGGCATTAAAGGCAATATGTACGCGATGGCATTTATATTAATACTCGAAGCATTGCCGCAGGAGATATTATGATTGTATTTCTGTTTTCGCTTTATGACAATTGTTAATTTACTCGTTGACTTTAAAAATCCTTCAATTAACATGCGATTTTTTACATATAAAAATTATAATTAGGATCAAAATGTAGTTTGCATTAGACAATCATCAAACAATTTTATAACTTTATGACAGACATCAATTTCTTGTAATATTACTACCATCGTTGAAAATCCGCTTGTTTGCCATTGTAATTTTGATTCTTGGATTTTTAAATAAGGTATCATTATACATATAGTAAAGTTCTTTCTGTAGCTACAACAATTATGGTGAACATATTTTACCTCATTCTGAATTACAAAGTGAATTATTCTTTTTCTTCTACTGTATTTACAATTTATATCTTTAGAAAATCGTGAATTTTCGCAAAGCCAGCGACTTAAAAGTTTATCCAGCAATTTTCTGAATACCAAATTCTCTTTCCCATTGATTATCCGTTTTATTTAGTTTTATTTTCTTGTTATTTCTGCAAGTTTTTTCTACTGTTGGTATTCGAAGATATTTTAATGTAAAGCGCATAACGGTATCCTCTTACTGAAATACTCCGCGAGAAAGATGTCTCTCCTTCAAAACATCGTATCAATCATTGATGTCTTAGAGAGGCCTCGGTTCAGCCGTCTTCGATCTCCGTTCACGGCACAAGTCGTAAGCTCGTAAATACCGAGATGCGCGAGAAGATGCTCGAGCGAGAGCACGGAGCAATTTTCGTCGTATCTTGCAATTTTCATGCAGCTGCAAATGGTTGTGTATGGCTCGCCCAGACGGCAAGGCACGCTTCGCAGCTGTTTGCCACTTGGGTGTGCCGCCTGACACGATGACCTCGTTAAAACGCCTTTTAATCTCGTATCTAGATCATCGGCGAGCATAGCTTGTGCGCAAAACTAAATTTTCCGATATATTTTCCTCTCCATAATAGATACATCGATACCGAACGTAGAAATTTTCAACTTTTAAGCAAAATAAACAAGTAAAAAAGAAAATTCGAGATAACGACAGAAACGAATATGTTTTTCCTCTTGCATAGAAATAAATTCAGATAAAATCATCTATTTAGTTTTAATGGCTGCGAAGGAATCTTGAATCCCTTATATTGTTCGTGACTATGATTTACACGTTTTTCTTCGCGTACGGCGCGAATATACATGGCTATTCACTTCAAGACAATTACCGCAGTTCCAATATGAAAACACGATACTCCACTAGCTCTGCCAAGAAATCTGATACCCATTTCTACCTATATGCAGTATAACAATTAAGCACATTAGTGTGACCACTGCAAATGCCATGGCGAAACTTCGCGGAAGGTATGCCGTCGTCAGAGTGGCCATCGTCGTCGCGGCATTAGTTGGCAGTCTTTGTGGCAGTAACTGTTTCTGGTTTACGCGAACATTCCACTCACGGCTCTAATCTGGGAGAGCGAGGATCATGAGGCCGACAGCGCGTTAATGCCCGCAGCTGAAAGGGATACGGATCACAGATTGCACCTCCCACGGCACTACACTATCGATAAACTGATATCGCGTAATGCAAATTTGGCATCGCATTCCGTTCTACCGCTATCTACAATTGTGACCTTCAGTATCATTTGTCTGTAATTTTAGAGTGCGATTATCTGGATCCGCGCTTTCTCTGGCTTGTGCTCTCGACAATTGCGTGACGTAAATTTTGTGTTTGATCGTTCGATTTTGAAAAATTCATCCGAGTAAAGATATTTTATTTTAATTAATAATAATTTAATTCAATTTAATTAATTTAATTATTAAACATAATTTATTTCAATTACTTTTTTTTTGTCTCGTGATATGTATTCTAGGATTTAAAATTTTATTTTATTTAAATTTTTATGATTGTTTATTATGAAAAAATTCAATATTAAATATAAAAGAAATTTTTTCTATAATATTTCCTGCAAAATGCGCAAAAGCACGTTGATACATTAAAAAATTAATTAATACATATTTTCACCAATATATAGCAGCAAATTGGATCTAATCATCGAGTAGTCACGTACTCGCGGATTTATCGAGATCACGGAGAATTATGCGGATAGTGAATAGCTTGTAATCTCGCAAGATTATGCCGATATCTCTATATAGAGAAACTGCGAGAACGACGATTCACACGGAGCGCAAGCTCAAGATCCAATTTTGACAAGCCGATGATTTGCTCCGAACATAATAAGCTTAACGTTGTTATGCAAATGTTACGCTACACAAGTTTGCAAACAATTAAGTATTCTCGCGCGGCGCGCACGAATCGCTTATGTATCTGCCGATTATGGCGTGATGTAATAAGTTTTATGTAACTTCGCTGCGTGTTTTTTTGACAAACAAATTACGGCTATTAAATATATTACAAATTACACTATTGCGAGGCTTGAATCGATGTTATACAATATATGTTCGATGCGATGATTACATGTTCTCGCTGTGCCTTAAAATAAATCAGGCAAGATATACAGAGCATTCTCACATGAAATTTCAATCGATTTTTATGTTATATTATTATGGTAAAATGCTTTTGATAATATCAACGCAAATTTAATTTTAAGTTTAATTATCAAACAAGTAATCCATATATTTCCATAATTTACACGTGAATAATTCATTTTACCATAATTAGTATAGATTATTATTATCATAATATTAATATATATAGATTACGAAAAGTAACCTGTGACGACTGCAAATTATGATAACTTTATATGAACAAGGAATGAGCTTCATCTTCGAATTTCCCTTTTCATAACATCGTTTGAGCTGCCTGTACTTTAAAATTTTAGAGAGAGGATAATAGAGGTTCTCGCTGAAAATGTATTTGCAAATTACTTATTCTTGCTTAATGTTCCAGCATGTTTTATATAATAATAATAAAGTGTGTGTGCAGTTGCTATCTCATTTCATCGGTTTATCTCAAAACGATGTAAAAGTATCGCTCACGCAAGGCTCATTAGCATTTAGAGTGGAGAGAGAGATTTATTCTCTAGCTGTGACTGCTGGATCACGACACGGCATGCATAGGATTATCTTCGAGAACCTGGACAATAGTGACCTAATCCATTTATAAAGGAAACGAGGTACTTTCGTGGGGGCGATCTCTCGAGCAGTCTCGTTTCTCTTGCGTCGCGCTTGTCTCGGAATTTTACGTTTCAGCGTTCGTTTTTGTGCCTTCGAGTCACGTAAGGGTAATGAGATATAACGACAAATCTTTTATCTCCGTGATCAGAGCTCGATATAATACCAGCGCGTTTATTTTCCGCGCCCAGACACGCGGTAAATCCGTTCCGCGCAATTGAATCATATGTTGTTAAAAAAATTGATAACCAAAAACGTATACAAATTACTGTCGTTAAACTTTACGATACATTAAGCAATTCGAGGTAACTTAGCCGATTTATAGTCGCGCGTATAAAATTGCAGGACCTTCTTTGACATTTCAATTCCGAATGTATTATCGCCATTCACTGGCAATTTAAAATTTCCACATGTAATTCGATTTCCACTAATTACTTGATACAGCGAAAATGCTCGCGTGAATAACCGTGAGCGAGCGTTTATTGCGGTTTCCAAAGTCAATATTAGCCGTAAGGCCATATAATTTTGCTAGCGAGATGATTGGCAATATCGTATAACGCTACGATACAATGTCTACACTACATATGCACTATCATATAATTCATATCTTGTTCTGATCATGAGAACAAAATATATTTGATTAATACTAAAAAGTGAAAGTACAACATGTATCTATTAGCGAAACAAACACAAATTTTGAGATAGGTATTCCGCAACATTTAAAAGTGTAAAAGCTTAATTATAATATTGTAATGCACATCTAGATTTTCGATAAAACTTATACAATAAAACTCAAAAACTATATAAGAATTTTGGCAATTGTTTGCATTTATTTTAGAGCTTTCTA